CACTGACGTGTCTGAAATAAACGCCCAGGAAGCTTTAAAGAGTATTTAGAAGATTTACGGTAACACAAAAGTTATTTACATTTTCTGATGCCTTTCAGGTGAAACATTTGCGGAACACTTATAAATCATTAGATATAGAAGTAGATGGTGGTCTTGGACCAAGTACTATTGATACTGCAGCTGAGGTAATCATCAAAACTAATTAAGAATTAGTTAATTATTGTCTTTGCATTCTAATGCAATATTTGATTGCCTTTACTGTACAAAGTGATTTAAAAGCACACATAACAGCAATAATACTTATTGTGAAATCATTAATAATTCATGACGAAAACACAAAACTTTAACTTAAATTTTCTCACCAAATATCATTAATTTATTGTAAATTGTTGACGAATACGAATGTTCTCATCAAGACGTTCCACAAGCCATTTACAACATTCGCGTCCGTGTTGTATCGGATATACATTACCTTTCGCCTTCGACTCGAGTTTGTACACTATATCCGATACAACACGGCCGCTTATGTTGTAAATAGTATACATACCCCTCATAAAGTACTCCAACTTAACAAATGCAAAAAGCATTTTTCTTATCAAATATCATGATTTTTGTCATCTCACTCGATAGAACTACTGTAAAAGGAGTTTGATAGGTTTGATTCTTGCCCAGATGGCCTATAGTTACATTTTTGGCAGCTGGTCCTGGTTAGGTCTAAAAATGTATACACGAAATATCCATCTTTAAAAAAACTTCTCAAACCCTCTAGTTCACTTTTTTATTTTCTACTTTCAGGCTGGAGCAAATATGATCGTTTCTGGCAGTGCCATTATTTCTAGTAAGGAACCGCAACAAGTTATCTCTGTGCTCAAGGAAAGTGTCAATAAATGGATTGATATAAATTGGTCCAAAACTTAATCATGTGGAATCATAATTCAATTATGATTAAGAATTTTGCAATTGGAAATGCAGTATAAAGGTACCAGGTAGATAGGATTGCTAAATTATACAAAACATGCACAACCTCCCCCCGTTTTATTTTCGCGTGCCTCTGTAGTCCGGGTCCAAACGTTGCTGCGACATTACACTTGGTAGCCTGCATGGCATGCGGTTTCCCAGGCTTGCCCGATTTTAGGGACCGCCTGCCATGCAGGCTATACACTTGGCGATTGTACGCCACTCTATAATGAATACGCATGCATGGGGAGTAGTAGACTTGTTACAAGTCGACCTCGTATAAACGCGAGCGACGAAGTAATTCCTTACTCTTCAAGAAATTACTTCCTTGAAAATTCCTTCGTTCTAAACAAAGACGAAGGACTTTGCGAAAGTCTAGGGGAGTAGATATTTCTTCTATATGCATGTATATTGCAGCACACATGTTCGTATCAGTTTAAACATTTTAGATAGATGACAAATTTAAGAATAAGAATATTCATTACCATTGTACTCGCAATATCAAAATCTATAGATCTAAAAAGTATTAAAACAACGCACAAGCAACAAATGAAAATGTAATATACATTGCCTGGGTGTATTATTTTTATATATTAAGGAGTTCAAGCTTCACGTTTCCGGGAACGGCAAACGGCAGGTTCGAACTTTCTTGGCAAAATTTTCGTTGAACGTTTTCGTTTTATATTTTCTTTCTTGCGTCGAAAGAATAATAATGTATTTCAGTTTTAAAACAGCAAGTTCATTTACTCTTTATTGTCTGATACTGTAAAATTTTTCTTTGCCTGGCGTTTGCCGTTTGACGTGTAACGCGAAGCTTAAACTCTCTATTCATTAAATATTACATTGTTGTGTAGTTTCATTGTGAATTATCCGTACATTATTTAGCTATGTATTATCTACTGTATATGTAGCCGACCGTATGATTCTGGGTTATATAATTAATTCATGTAGTTATCATGTTTCAACCAGCTTGCTACTGTTTCTTCTCAAACACAACGCCACCTACAGAAAGCAAAAAAAGTGGCTAAGGGAAAAAGCGATACTCGTCAATTGCAGACCTTTAGATATAAACCCCCTACTTTTGCCGACACATTCAGCGTTTTGACAGGCTTCTGATTTCGAGTTGCCATATGGGATACAGATTTCAATCCATTTCTTGTGATGCATATATGAGAGAGAGAGAGAGAGAGAGAGAGAGAGAGAGAGAGAGAGAGAGAGCTGTACCGCCTCCGCAGGCCTTTCTTAAATTTTGAGCGAGATCGAAGTGAAGCCAAATACAATTTCCAACCTGCGAACGGGCACTCTGTCTTTACGAAATTAGGGAATTCATTAGGTATGGCCTGAACACAGTTTGATAACAAACGCTGTTGCGTGGGCGAAGTTTCGTTACTCCCGTTAGCCTGGAGCTAACACAGAGTTGATATGGCGGATACGTTTTCTTGTGTGAATAAGTTTAGCAGCCCAACGTGCTTTTTATTTGAAGAATGCAATTCCCTTTCCTTTAATAAGACTTGTTTGTAAAAATAGGTTTCAATGTGACTTTCTCCGTAACGAAATTTTGCCCGCCCGTAAAGGCGATGCCCGCGGAGGAAGCTAGTGTACAGCCCAGAAATACACCAATAGTGTTTTGGAAAGGATACTGTTTTGAGCATTCTCTAATGAAATATACAGGAAGAATTGAATAATGTTTATCGGGGTTGTATTTTATAACAAATCTGATTTCATACTTCTTACTAACACCGTCAACAGGAAAACATCTCCAAGTACAACATAGTCTAGATGCTCCCTTTAGGCACGAGTTTGCCATATGGGATACAAAATGGCGGTCGTAAAATCCAATTATGCCATGGAATATTTCTCTTGCTGATCCGTCTTCCTTTCCAGACATTTACCAGTTAAATTTGTTAAACCTATTAATTAACAAACAGGGTGGGAAAATATTTAATTTACTGGGACCCCCTCTAAATCTTCATTTCTTCTTTCTGCTCTCCTTAAAGTTTTCTGAGAACAATTAATGCATGGTCCCCACTGATCTAGTGATGGTCCCACGGTCCGCTGCATGGGGCAGGTGTGTTTTATGTAAAGAATTGATGCGTACTTTTAGAAAGTTTGTTTATATACGCATAGAAAATGAACACCAAAGTTTATATAAATTAAAATGAGTTTTATCAGATATGAAACAACTGGCACGGTGCTGGTTTTCTTTCTCTCTTGCGCATGAAATTGAAAGCTTATATTGTCACACTTTCTAATAAGAAAAAATGTTAAATCCGGCTGAAAATTAAAACAAATATATGTCTAGTATCGAGTCACTGAACTCGACAGAAAACAATGTCCATCACAGCTCTATGCACAGCAATAGAGCATGAATGGACACATGGATGTTATATACTGTATGGACTCTGTAGCTCAGTTCCTTATAGAGAGCTGCATCGGAATTGAAAGGCCACAGGTTCTACTCCTGTCAGAGGGCCTATATAGTTGCACTTTTCGCAATTGTTCCTAGTTAGGTCCAAACATGTATAGAAATGACGTTCGAAGTTCGAAAATTCCATCTACAAGAAAATTCCGTCCACAAAAAACCATCTAAAAATCTACAAAAAATCCATCCAAAAAACCCATCTACTAACAAAAAGTATACCTTTATCATTCCAGTCTGCCCTTCCTGGGATGTGCATAGAGAAGCAAGAACACAAAGTAAGATCGTGATTTTTATGACAACCATGATTGAGCCAGTAAAATTTCCTTTAACTATATTTATTTTTTAGTTGGGGCTTTAGGCTATATATACCAAGAACCTAGTTTTATTGTTTTCTAAAATTGTATAAAAGCTTTAACTACTTTTTAACTACTCAATTTGCAGTAATTAATCATTACACAACGTGTTTTTTACAAAAATGGTTTAATATAAAAGGGTTATCTGACTTAGTTGTGGATTTCGCTCGATAGAACTGACATCGGCAGTTGAAGGGTTTTTGTAGACAGAAATTTCGAGTGTAAGATTATATACAATTGTAGACCTAACCAGGAGTAGTTGCGAAAAATACAGCTATAGGGCTGCAGGTTCGATTCTACCAGAGGGTCTATATATAGTTGTATTTTTCAACTGCTCCTGGTTATAGGTCTAAAATTGTATATAATCTTACACTCGAAATTTCCATCTTCAAAAACCCTCAGCTTGAAACCCTCAGCTGTTAATATACAGGCTATATTTGAACTTAAAATACTCATTATAAATTCATAAACCTTGTGGCAAATCATGTCAGCCATAATATGTCACGTGGAATGACTTTATATCTGATAAAACTCATCTTCATTAGTATTCTTTATATAATTGTTCATCCTAATTAGTATGATTATATAATTGTTCACCCTAATGAGTAGTCGTATTTTAAGCTATTCAAAACACTCCTTCTCGTGTTTTAAATATAGTACATAAATTTCGACTGTAAATAGACTACCACACGCAGGCAAGCTGTTTGAATAAATTTCTTTAATTAGTTATAGATGTGGTTTTTAAAAACAAATACACAAGGTTCAAATAATTTAGACAGGGATAAATCACACTAAATTTACCCGAGTAAGAGATTGTTATTTGCCCATTCGGACGGTTGTATTTTTAATTAAGTTATTTGGTTGAGCAAAACCAAAGATATGGCTTGGCAAAGTCAACCATCAGCACTGACTCATATGATCTGCTAAAATGAAAGCAACATCCATGCTGGTAAATACGATTTCTATCTTATACACAGCATCAGCCACTCCGACCCCTGCAAATTTTATACAAGCAACAAGTTAAAATGTATTATTATTTATTTATTGGTTAACAGCCAACTGTGAAATTGTCATATCAACTCAATGGCTAACCAAATACGGATTTTTCACATTCATATTAGCAAAATGACGTCAAAGAGTCAATATGAAAAAAAATTGGACGCGTTTGCGCCATATTACTATGACGACGAGAATCATATTGACTCGCTGATGCCATTGATATGACGCGACGACGGCTGCCGAAGGACTAAGGAATTGTTTTTTTCTTAATACAAATAAAATACAAATGTTTGTTTTGAATTTTTTAAATAAATAATAAAACAATTATTGAATTCGGTTTTCGCACAATATGAAGAATTATCAAGCCCTCAGTTTGCCGTTATCAACCTCAGCCTTCGGCTTCGGTTGATAACGGCAAACGTCGGGCTTGATAATTCTTCATATCGTGCATGCTCAACCTCATTCAATAATTGTTAAATAACATAAGCAGTTTTGATATTTATTGAACACAAATAGAACACAAACATTGCCAGGGTATATATGTATATTTATTTAGTGATATGATAATTTACATATTCTGGTGCAAAGAGTTTGTGGAATTATATCCTTCCATTATCTAGCCATGTATTATCTATATGTATATAGCTGACCGTATGATTCTGGGTTATATAGTTAATTCATAGGATTATCATTTTTCAACCAGTTTGCCACTGTTTCTTCTCAAACGCAACGCCACCTATATAGAAAGCAAAAAATTGTAATTAGAAACAAGCGACTGACTCATCATGCAACCACACGGACCTTATATATAGCCCACTTTGCCGGCACATCATGAAGCTTTTTGATAAATTTCCAACTTTACTTATTTCCATTCAATTCCTTATATATACATTAACCAATACATGGATAAGAGAAAAATTGGCGTAAACTCTGAAGATCGACTGAACATTTTGATAACGAGTTCTAGTTCTGTTGGGTTAAATTCCGTCACCCTGAAGCTATAACACATGCAAAAGCCAGTGTATTGAACGTTTTGAAAAAGGCCTTCGTCCGCACAGTTAATATGAGCCAAACGTGCATGGTTTACACACAACCACCTCTCCTCCGTTAATAAAATAGGTTTCAATGTGGTTTTTTCCCTAACTAAGTCTTGCCCGCCCGCTAAGGTGATACCCGTGGAGGAAGCAAGTACAGCCCAAAAATGCACCTATAGTGCATGTATATGGAAAGATATTTAAATTTGAACATGAAATATACAGGAAGCTATAGACTAAATTTTGATCTAGGCAAGAAGAACAAAATCCATCACAGCTAGAAAGAGCATGTTAAAATTAGTAAAATTGGGAAGTTTGGCCGCGAAATGTTGTAAAATGCGGAAAATATAGCCCTGCGAAATTTGCAAATTTTGTATTAATTTGTATTACGCGCGGGAAAATGCACCACATTTGGGCCGAAAGTGGTGCAAATTCCCGTGCGTGTATATACAAATTAATACAAAATTTGCGGTAGTGGTACGGGTACCAATTTTATCCGTGCCGTACCGAAAATTTGAGCGTAGTGTAAACGGGGCTCTGGAATCATCCATTCCGTACTTACGGTTTATGATAACCAAAAACAGGAAAACATCTCCAGGAACAACATAGTCTAGCTCCTCCCTTTGGGCACGAGTTGCCATATGGGATACAAAATGGCGGTCGTAATATCCAATTCTGCCATGGAATATTTCTCTTGCTGATCTGTCTTCCTTTCTAGAAATTTACCATTTACATTTGTTATGTATACTATATTAGCTAATTAATTAACAGGGTGTGGAAAATATTTAATTTACTGGAACCACAAAGGAATATGAAAATATTTTCTGTCAATTAGGCCAAATAAAAAAAAAACTTGGTTAGCGTCACATTCTCACAAATTTTCAGAGGCGGGCGGGCATTTTTTTTTAAAATTTTTACTCGTTTTTAATTTTTTAATAGTATTTTTTGGGGGGATGGGGGCGGTTTTTCCACCATATCGGTGATATTGTTTGTACTGATGTTGCGAAGGCTGCCATTTTGCTATAAGAACCTTGTATACCCAAGCCCACGTGCTCCTATCGATCAGTATGTAGCGCGAAGGTCTGAGCATGAGAAAAATTTCAAATATTAAACTGTTTTAAGCTGTAAAACGAAGAGATTTACATAAAAAAAAAATTGAAAAAAAATTAAGCGGCGGCAGAAATCGAGAGGCGGACGGTGACGCTAACCAAGTTGTTTTTTTTTATTTGGCCTTATCAACAGGAAATGTTATTTCAGGAGACTTTATATGAGAACATGCCAGGACCACCGTACAGTTTCCAACCAAGCTAATCTTCCAATAATGTGTCCACTATCTACCAGCATGATAACTTTCTTTGTATTTACTAAACTACTGATGCTACTTCTCATCATTCTATCACTGATACCATAATATAATGTAATCTACAACACTCTAGTTCTTTTTCATTCCTTCTTGCATTTCCGCACTTTCCTTTCGTTCCACCCTCCAACTTATTTAAATCTTCATTTTTAATTTCTTTCTGCTCTTCTTAAAATTTTCTGAGAACAGTGCACGGTTCCATGGTCCGCTGCATGCATGGGGCGGGGGTGTTTTACGTAGAATTGATGCGTACTTTTAGAAAGTTTGTCTATATAACACAATTAATAGTATATTGTAGCCTAATTCTGATAAGAACCCAAATGCATCTACAACATTAGTATTCACTTCTATAATAAGAACAATTTCTCTTCTTTTTCTCTCTTGTAAATACATATATATTCATTTAATATTGTGATTGACTGTAAATAATTTATTACATAATATAATACAAACTAGCATAACTAGATACCTATATAAATAAGAAGTCTACGAAGATTTCTAGTAGGTCTCTAGCCCGCACTCTGCAATTATTGTAAATATACCACACAAAAATTTATTGTACATGGGGAAATTTTTAAAATAAATAAATAATAAATAAAATAAATATTCGCCTAGAAAATGAACACCAAAGTTTATAAAAATTGAAACAAGTTTTATCAGATATGAAACAACTTGCACGATGCTAGTTTTCTTTCTCTTCGCATGAAATTGAAAGCTTTAAGCTTCGGATACACGAGCAATATTTTTGCCGCGATGGTTACGCAATGGGTGATAACAGCATTGCGTTGCCGTCGCACAAGGTGGCTACACCTGCAATATTTCACCTGCAATATATGTTATCATAACGCTTTTCATTGGCTGGTCAAGAAACGTGTCATTCATCAACCTTGACCTTCCTTGACCACACCTCCCAATTTTCGGCAATCATTGCCGAAAATCAAATGATTTGAAATTTCGGCAACGATTGCGCGCAGCTTGGCGTTGCTGTCGCAGAGCATGATACACAAGCAATTTCTTTCTCGCGACGGCAATGCAACGATTTTACCACCATTGCATTGCCATCGCCAGAAAAGTATTGCCCGTGTATCCGTATAGCTTTATATTGTCACACTTTATAACGAGAATATATAATAAATCCAGCTGAAAATGAAAACGGGATACTCCCTATGTATGCGGTATACAAAAAACACTTTAAATTTATCAATATATTACAGTTTGGAATGATAATATATATATCGTAGGAAAAAGATACTTAAATTACTGTTTGGAATGATAATATATATCGCAGGAAAAAGATACTTAAAATTAATATTAAGAGATATATAACAATACCTATCCTCATGCATGTGTTTCAGCTATTAACTATGGTTTCAGCAGAATAGTCTAGGTTAGGGTCAGGATTGTGATTGGGGCCAAAGTTTTTTCTCGTGGGCCAAACACTGAGGATACCTGAGGACTATGTTACCGGTAGGTCTCATTTGACATGAATTATTAATGCTATTCAAAGGCCATTTTTCAATCCTGAAATTATACTAAAATGGTATTAGTAGTATAAAGCACCATATTTATTCTTTGTTTCATTTAACAATACCTTTACAGTTCCAGTCTGTTCTTCCTGGGATGTGCATAGAGAAACAAGAACACAAACTACGATCGCGATTTTTATGTTAACCATGATTGAGCCAGTAAAATTTCGTATTCCTTTAGTCTAATTCATTTTTAGTTGGGGCTTTATATATAGCCAGAACCTAGTTTTATTGTTTTGTAAAATATCAGCTGTATACCAGCTCACAGCTGTGTTTATAAGATACATTTTGGAGAAGAGTAACGAAATGTTTTATTTGTTTTGATAAAGTGTCTTGTATACGAAAACAACATGTGTAATGAGTAATTGTTTGGCTTACCGGCAGTCGGAACAAGCTGTAAGCACTTGGAAAAAATTCCCGATCTACAGATAGAGATTCAACTGATTTATATTTTTTTTCAAAGTAAAAACAACACATGTAAAAAGATCAAACTTTAATGTTAGTCATAGATTGCAGTAAATGTAATATTACAAAGTAACGGGCTTGTTCGAGTGAGCGACATATACTATATAGGGTGGACGTTAGCCTTGGCCTTGCCAATGAGATTTTTCAGCTATA